TGGTCGCGGGGCATTCGGCAACGCGGACGCTGGATGGAATACGCGGAAACAAACAGTGTTCTAGTCGAATTTGAATTGTAAATTTGAATTTTTTTTGTGGAAAAACGTACTGTAGGGGCGGTTCTAGACTGAACCGCCCCTACAAACAGGTATACTACAGCCGCCCCTACAAATCGATTTGTAGGGGCGGCCTGAGAACCGCCCCTACAAATGCATGATTTGTAGAGACGGTTTGGTAGGGGCGGCTGGCCAAACCGCCTCCTACAAAGGGTTACGAGCCGCCTCTAAAAAACGTTTATGTAGTAGTGGACGACATAGCCAGCGATGGCGTGACCGGCTTGAGGTAGCCCCCGAGGGTCGTTGCCGATGGAGTGTCCAGAGTGGGTGTGTTGACATAGCTGGTGGTAGCGTGATGACGTAGCCAGAGGCGGCGTGACCGGCTTGGGGTAGCCCCCAAAGGGGTACCTGAGGGTCGTTGCCGACGGAGTGCCCGGAGGCGGCGTGACGATGTAGCTGGTGGTAGTGTGACAACGTAGCCTTTGTTATTGTACGCCTTAAAACATGAAGACGAGATCAGTGAGTATTTATTCGGTAGTCGAACAAGATAAACTCGTAGTAAAGCATGTGTTAATTTTCCTTTATGAGCTATATTCATTGTGTTGTGCACTTTGTCGACTAGACCGTAGCCCGTGCTAACCGTCGAGATGCGGCACATGTAGCATTGGTTTTGTCCCGTAGGTCGTCGCAGCCAACAAAGCACATTGCATTGACCATGTGTCATAAAAATACTTAAAACAGTTTTAAGGGTCGTTGCCTTCTTTCCGTGATGTAGCTTTCCCTTTATGAATTGCTCGGCGTGTTTATGCACTTTGTTAACTAGACTGTAGCCCCATGCGTATGATGTTAGCCATGAGGTGGCGTGATCCGTATAGCATTGGGTTGCGGCGTAAGTCATTGTCGTGACAAAGCTTTACACATAGAACATATTATGTATGTACTTAAATCGCGGAGAAAAAAACAAACATGCCCTAGAGTATGATTATCATGTGTAGCAGCCCCTGACTTTCTAGTAAGTTTGAGGTAACTTAGTAGAAAGTAAGAGCAAAAAATAACATAATAAAAACAATTATAGAAACGATTTAGCTGAGCCAACGGGACGTTGTTGTCATTGTTGTCGACGTTGATGTCGAGTGCTACCACGAACGCCGCGTCGAGGGACGGCAAGAGGTCGAGAGAGATCGACTCGAGGAAACCTGTTGACGGTGTGCTCAAGTGGTAACTGTTCATGAAGTTGTTGACGACGACGTGACTAGCCCGAAGGAGTCCGTCGACGGTGCGCCCGGATTGCCGGTGATGTTGTCGTCGTGCATCCAACTCGATGACGTGGATGATGAGTTGATGATGCTAGCCGCGGCATGCTGATGACGAGGGCCGTCACGGGGCGACGTCGAGAGCCAGAGCATGATGAAGACCACTCATCGACAAAGGATATCGACGAGGGCCGCCGTTGGGTTCCTGCCGATGGTTAGTCACAGAGACACATGTACATATTTGAAAATATGCATATATCGTAGAATTTTTAATTTGAAGCAAAAAGGCATGGCTTAGCTGCTTGTTTCGTGCACGAGTTAGCATGTCGGTGCATGCTTGTATTCATATACTACGCTTCAATAGCTTTGCCATAGCCTTGCATGACTGTGTATATTGATTGTCATCCAATATCATAATCTGTTGTCACGTGACCTAGCTCGCATGGCCTTGCTTGCCGGTGCATATCTCGATGAGAGTCTCGATGTGCCGCCGTGAGTGGCCTCGAGATGTCGGGTCGATGATGAGAACCGCGGCAAGTTGCTGACGAGGGCGAGGGTCGCGGATGGCACGGCGAGTCGATGGAGAGTGTCGCCGCGGACGATGATAATGATCGTCTGCTGTTAACTGTCACGGAGACAAACAGAGATATCCAGAGGATATTAGTTGAACAGAAAACATGGCTTAGCTGTTTAATGTTTCCTTTGCAAAGTCTGGATGTGCCGACGATGATGAAGGCTGAAGCGTCGACGACGGATGACGAGATGTCGAGTTGTGCCATCGCCGAGGATGGCTTATCAACGATGTGAGTGGCGACGACAGCCGCCGCGCGACGGCGACGGACAGATTCCTGCCAATAATTATGTAGATACGTAGAAATATCTGAACATATATTCTATAGAATATTTAATTGAAATAAAAACCATGACTTAGCTGTGTTTAATTGATGGCATTGAAATCTGATAAGAAAATCGCCCTGACATGCAAACGTGATGCGTACGTGCACATACACGCACACGCAAGGCAATTAGCATGTTGATTATCGCTTGCATGGGCTGTCCGTAGGTGCTCTTTCTTCCAGTGCACACGCGCATGGCGGCTACCACCACTTGTGGTGTCCGATCAAGGGTTGCACGGATGGACCCCATCACGTGGCTGCGGCTGCGTCGGTAGACTGGCCAAAGTTGAAGTTGAACGCAGGCACACCCTGCCGATCGTGGAGGCCGCCGCTTGACGCGTGACGAATTAGCTTCTGGATGTCGCCCGTGACGGGAAGGGTATCGCCCCCGGATGCCAAAATCGTCGTGGACGATGTTTGATGAAGAAAAAATCACCAACTGAAACACAATATTAGTCTAAATGCGAAAGACCCCCTGCCTGGCATGCCAACTGTCAGATTATTTTACTCCGGTAATATCCAGCAATGTGATCGCGTAGACGGAATCAGATGGTAGCACACAAGACACAAAGATTTATACTGGTTCTGGGCATGGTGCGCGCTAAACCCTACTCCAGTGGTGCGGCTGCTCTTGTATTTGTATGCTCAATTATAGGCGCTATTGCTCCTAGCTACGTAGTAGATGAAAAAGGTGGAAGATGGATCCCGAGCCCGAGGTCCCCACCCTTTTTTATATAGGCAGGAGATGTAGGCTTATAGAGAGGACGATCGGGTTAACAGATTGTGTTTCTAGTTTGTTACACGATATGCGCAACAGATTGATTCTAGCTATCGTCAGGATACACCCGCCCTGGTTTGCCTTAATCTTCACGTTGATCGATGGCGTCAGCCCTAGCGGGCCTCCTCCTTGATGGCTGCTGGGCCGATAGGCTGGTGATGGTCACATATACTGGCGGTGTAGGTATCCCTGGCCCATATATCTGGCACCCATTACACCACAACACCAAGATTAGCGATGGATAGTCTGACGCTAAAAGCGGCTACAGCGACAGACAATCTGACGCTAAAAAGTTATAGCGACAGACTTCTGCAGACGCTGTAAGTCCTAACGGTAAAAATCTTTAGCGTCAGACAATACTTTTAGCGACAGATAGTCCGTTGCCCTAAATTTTTTTAGCGACAGACAACCCACTGCTACTCTTTAGCGACAGATCATTTGATGCTACATATAGTTTTAGCGACAGATGGTCCTAACAGTTAGTTTTAAATGGTTAAAAAAATAAAAATTGATCGGTCAACAATTATTACAAATGTTACACTGAGCTTCAAAAGTTCATTCAGCAAATTTACAACTAGAATTCAACTTCAATAAAGATACATGCATTTTCATAAATTTGACTAAAAGTTTACAATAGCTCACGTAGGTAAGGTCACCACATCTACTTCCTCTAGAGACAAAGAACATCCTCCAAAACCATCCAAGTCAATCTGGTTGCGGAAGCATGTGCCTTGTGCTACTAAAAGTAGTGATTGCAACTGAAACAATAAGAAAGTACATGACGTTTATTTAGCATAAAATAGAAAAATCATAGTATGAATGCAGAACACAGTAAAGCATTAAGAATTGACAAATTTAGAAAATGGAAACATAGTTTGCGTATTGAGCATGGCATATATACTCAAGCAGATACATTAGTTTGTGTGGAGATTAAATTTTTACCATTTACATCGATCAATACAGCAGGTTGTATGTGTAGCAAAAAAAAACAACAAAACATAGCACTTGTCCTTAAAATCACTTGTCCCAGGATAGAAGGTCTTTAGGAGTTCTTCAATAAGGCAAGGAGAGAAGTCTATGTATCTTTGGAGCAGTGAGCAAATCTACATTCCATAGGAATTCACCATAATATTAACAGTTTACATACAAGAATAATATCGCCAAAAAAATAAATATAACCTATATGTGTAATGCTGCACAACTCCACAAGCTAATAGCCTACAGATTTTGATGCCGATAAAAATTAGGGCAGCAGCATGCTTCTCTTATACAGAACACATTGCTTATCCATGTATGAAATAACTTATAAAGAAATGTATAATGAGCAAGGCTGTAGCTTACAAGACGGATTAAGTGTATATTTGTGAACTGATAAGACTAAGTAAACCAGATGCAGGTACTGTTAACACTGCACATACCTGAACTGCAGCTTGTATGTCAGTAGAACGAAGCTTAGCAGCACAAATGTAAGAAACTGCTTCACTGACAAATTTGCTCAAGTTTACAGTTTTCAATTCTTCAATTAATCTGTCCTTCACTTCATCATTTATCACTTTAAGCTTCTTGATAATTGCTAAATTACGGACTAGCGATCATAAGCACCACCCAATTCGGTCTTCTCTCATTTCCAGGATTACCTATTCATTCAAGGGTTTGACATTACTTCTCAGAAAAATAAACATGTATTAAAAGTAAGAAAGTCATATATTATTACGTTGAAATGAGGGTGGGCTAATTAATATGCACTCACGGTATAAATCCAAGTACCATTACATGTACCATGTCTAGTAGAGGACAAATTGCGAAAATTTTAATAATAAATTATATAAACTTTGTGATGCCATCTAATTTGGACGAGAGATAATTATACAGTAAATAGAACAGGATGCTAGCAAGTTGAGGTGATCACAAGTGCAGTGCTATGCTTGACTTGACTTAACCTCATCTTGTGACCAAGTAATAATGGTTTTCTCCTTTCCAAGAGTGCAAAATCGTCCACCACACGTTTGCCATGCCATGCGGTGTGAAAAATCGTATGCATGCATAGTGGAAAAGGACCAGACCAGACAAGAAGCAGCAGCCGGCAAATTGAAGGGTGCATAGAAATTAAGCTACCTGCCTGCAGGACTTAGACTTGTTCAAACCTTCCAGGTCCTCAACAGATGGAGTATATTTCCTCTCCTGTCTGCACATCAGCATGAATCAACTCTAAGGTGTCACATCAATGTGTAGGACAATAAACAAGAAGCAAACAAGAAAGTATATTTCTATCAAAATTTAAGAAAACGTACATTCATTCTCCTAAACATTAAGTAGATAAGCTTTTACATTACCTACTGGACCAGTTCTGACTAAACAAAAACAACACAAGCCAGATGATTTTCCATGCCCGAACGCAGTTTCCATTTCCTGAACCAATGGACGCACAATCCATTGAAGAAGACTAATTTCACTCTTTCTGAAAATTGTGAGCAGTTTCATCGAGAAGTATGGGACCCACATCATTGTTGGGCTGGATTTGGGTGGCCAGGATGTGGTGTATGTGAAGCAGGACAACTCGTCTCCATTGTCCCCATCTGAGATCAAGGAGCACTTGGACAAGCTAGGTGATCAGCTCTTCACTGGGACATGCACTCTGCCCCCTCCAAACCGCAAAAACAGGGACCACAAATTTAAGGTTAGCAAATCATGCATGTTAGTCATTTATGTCCAGATCAGACTTAGATTAGGGATCGGAATCAACAACATCCATCCACCACAATATGATATATCATGAACATGAACTGAAATGTGCTGGAACTCCTATTACTTGGATCGCAACAGGTCCCTGAGGCCTTCAATGTATTTGATGCCCAAGTGACACAGCAAAGCCTTCAAGGAATGATTACTCCAGTGTCCTGCAAAGAGGTATTTAGTTCAGAATTTTGGCATATTAACAGCAGCTAACAGCGAGTAAGGAGATAGGAGATGTAGAGGCCAGGAATTTCTAATAAGTTTGGACTGAACTGATACACGGTGATATACTCCAAGAGGGGAGGGAATGCAGCAGCGAGCGATCACTCAGAGTGGCTGCTCACTGTGCCCACAATGCCGGACGCAATGAACTTCAAGCTTGTGCCCATCACATCCCTTCTCAAGGGAGTAACTGGCGTGGGCTTCCTCTCTCATGCCATCAACCTATATCTCAGATGTAAGTAAGGTCTTTCTCTCACACATAAATCAAATCCATCGTCGAAGTGCAACAAACTTCAAACTTGAAGAAAGCACAATCAGTGAAATGAATCATAAGCTAACCTCAACAAAAGTAAAAGCAATTCAGCAAGAACTATTATTGCCTTGTTATAATATATTGTGCTTATTTAGTTACAAATTGCAACTTTCAACTTACAATGAGAGAATGAGATGACATAGTTTCACAAATATAATTCACATATTCAGTTTGCTCGAACACTAAAACTTTCAAACCTTACTATTTGCTACTTATCGATTTATACTAGGTCTGTTTATGCAGATGAAAATGTATAGGTACAATTCATAATTTGCTCAATTAATTAGTAACATTCAAAGGATTAACCTGGCAACAATTTTAAAGTCTGGGTTGCTCGTAAAAACCAAGTATTGCATAGATGAATAAATATAATGTAAACAGATCAGCAGAAAATCCAACATTTTTTTGAATAAAATGTACAGTATAGAATCAATGTGAAAAAATGAGTTGTTGGTCAAATAGCAATTTCATTTCATGGAGAAAATAAATGTTCTATCAAAATAACCAGCAAGGAAGCTAGGTCATGCCAGCATTACCATAATTCCAAAACATCACATAAGAGCAAATAATTCTAGCATAGCACCGCCTACTAGCCTAGAAATGTGAGTAACTAAACATTCTAAAGTCATAACTGATGAGCACTAAAAGAATCTACATATGAGTTTTGAGTATCACAAGTTCTAACACCTACTGTGCATACAAGTCTGCAAGTGCAATGTTATTAGACAAAGTTCATGGAAATAATGTACCTTTATCCTTTGAGCTTGGCAAATTTAATTTCCTGCAAGTTCCAGAAGCCATTCTTTCTGGAAAAATTAAGCAGATGTCTGCGCTGAAGTTAATGTAATCAATGTAAAGTAGGTAGACCACAAGAGGACAGTGTAAAGATCTACCTCGAAGGTTGTTTCATCGATAAACATATAGGGTCTGGGTTTATTTATTTTCCTAAACACGCCCAATCCGGAATTAAATGGTGTAAGAGGTACATGAAGAAACACTGCCAGAGCAAATGTGATTATTTTGGGAAGATTGCACTTTTCAATTCGAAGCCAAATAACAAATCTGTTCAGTTGTTTGCAAATCTGTTCAGTTGTTTGCAAATTTGATTTTTAAATTATAAACACGTCAGTATTCACTAAAGAGCATGAGCAGGCAAGCAACGACCTAAGCTCTCTAGGTTTTAGATCGATGAACTAAGACAACACAAAGGCAAAATAAAATATCAGCCAATAATTTAAATATCATCAAATAATTTTAAATATGAGAAAATGTATTCAAGTTGCATACTTCTAATATTGTTGTCCTGTCTTTTAGCATGTGTGGCATGTAAGGAAACTGAACATCACAAAGTCACTCAATTAATTAATCTTCAGGTGGCAGGACCAAGCAAGGTCAAACGGAAGCAATGCGTAACACTGTAACAGGCTGTGAAGACAAACCTAAAAATGAGCACTAACATGAGGAGAAGCACAACGTGCTTACCACGCACCTTTTGAATTAGAATATTCATCAAACCTTCTAATCCACCCATGATAGACTCAATAAGGGACTCCACATAAGAGATAGTATGTCTGCAAATTTTGTTAACCTACATTTGAAACAAAGAAAGATTCACTAATTAATATGCCAAACACAGAATAGAAATGTAACCCTGTAGAGGAGGAATCTGAGTAACAGACTGGAGACATATTGTTATGTCATAGTAAGAGGTGGACTGTTGGAGCATATAGGATTATTATGTCAATGGCAGTTCAAAGCCTTCAAATCCCAAGGCATAGGCAGTTGGCTTGCCTCTTGCTCGACAGATCAAGCATAGCAACTGTCCATCTTGCCGAGCAAAAATTAATAGCTTATGTGGCACCTTAAAATATTTTACTAATCCTCAAAACGCCATGTTGCAAAAAAAAATCTTGAGGATGCTGTAAACCTCAAAATAATGCTCAAACTGAAATCATATAGTGAATTCAAATATACACCTGTTCAGAATAACTGCAGAAGCACATTCGGAAAACTGGATCGCTGCTCCAAGGCAAGCACAACAATCTTGTGTAAGCGACCTTCCGGGCCAAACATTTTATTTCAGAAAGATCTGTGGGTCCTAGGAAAAAAGAAATGATTTATTATCAGCATAAAAGTCTATCTACTTAGAAAAGATTTAAAGGACTATGAGAATCACCCAACAATATAAACTTACTGTAGTAAGATGCCGATGATAAAAGTAGAGTTTTGTAAGGCATCCGTGTTTGGAGAGTTGGCTCTCAAGTTCATCCACACATCCGCAGAACATTTTAACTCTAGGCAGATGAAAATGATTCTTAAAGAATTTTGATTCAAATTCAAGTATTTGAGTTCTGGCCAAAAGCACAATAACAAAGAACAAGAGCTATGCAGATGGATGCACGATGGACAACTACTTTAGTTATTCTACTCTAACAAATATATTTGTAGCAGTGTAAAACATAGGGACAAGGGACATGCAACCAAATGGCATGAAGATGGTATAAAACAAACTATAATTTTAGGAGCACGAAATAGGATTATTTATTTATGTTGGGCCAATTATGCTAAGCACATTACAGAAGCTGTAGTTAACTCAATACCACACTAACCACAGCAAAGACCCATATTGGGAAATTACTATCCCATGCTTGGGCCCGGGGCCGCATGCCATTGACACATAGGATAGCATTTTCCAAATAACGACCATTTCAGGAAAATTTTGGTTGGCAATAAAAGCTAAAAATATAGCTACCTCAAATTAAAGCAGGTTGTCACCACGGCATCACAACCTCAATCTAATTGAAGAACCTGAGTTTTTATTTTGAGACTTTTCCCTGTGTGCCATTATAAAAGATCGTAATCCTCTACGTGCCCCTGAAAAAATTCAGCGGTCTTCAGCGCCACTACTTCAACTTTTCGCGTGTCATCCATACCCATCCAAATCGGTTTGGGCTCTACTTGCGTCAAGCTGCAGTGTGAAAAAACGAAAATGCCCTTAAATTCAAATATGTTATTAATTTTTTTAAGCATCTTAATGACTTCAAATGAAAAACTCAAAACTAGAAAGTTGTAGATCTCGTCGAGATCTATAATTTTCATATAATTGTTTTTTTCATTTAATTCCATAAAAAAATATGATTTGATATGATTAATATATCTTAGAAAAATCATATTATTTTTTTTGCAGAATTAAATAAAAAAAAATTTATATGAAAATTATAGATCTCGACGAGATCTACAACTTTCTAGTTTTGAGTTTTTTCATTTGAAGTCGTTAAGATGCTCAAAAAAAATTAATAACATATTTAAACTTAAGGGCATTTTCGTCTTTTCACACCTGCAGTTTGACGGCGTTAACGTCCAAACTGACGGAAGTGGCATGGAGGACACGAAAAAGTTAAAGTAGTGGCGTTGAAGACCGCTGAATTTTTTCAGGGGCACACAAGGGATTACGATCTTTTATAATGGCACACAGGGAAAAATCTCTTTTATTTTCGTTCATGGCCTGACCTCATACTCGATTTTGGTGACGTCGGGAATAACTTCTCCTCCCAATCTTCAAAGTCGCCACCATCGCAGTTGCTGTGGAGGCCAACAGGGGAGGTCTGCTGCGCGGCAACCTGACATGGAGCGGCGGAGCAGGCAAGGCTAGATCGTGCTCCATGAGCAACACAGATCTACCCTAGGGGCGTGGCAAGAGCAGATGAACGCCCATCCCCGGCGCCGACGAGGGAAGGGGAGGAGGAAGAAGGGAGAGAGGCTATCACCTGGTTTTCGTCGCGCCGCTAAGATGGCGCCGGCTAGGGTTTGCTCCAGCACAGGCACACAGCTAGGGGCGACGACCTCCGGGAGCCCGGCATGGCAGGGGGGAGGCGACAGCCACGGCCATGCCGGTGGGGCTCTCTGCGCCCCGCCATCTGCGCCATGCCGGAGGCAGCAACCATCGCCGGGGGCCATCCGGTAGCCGCGCCAAGACACTGGGCGCCGCCGCCCGACACGCTAGAGCGTCGAGGTGACCACTGTTGGGCCGGTAGGCACCGCCACGCGTCGGAGAGAGGGAGAAGAAGGGGGGAGGCGCAGCCGGGGGCGGCGGCGGCGGCGCGGTAGGGAGGAGCGGGACGATTGGGAAAGGAACGAGGCTTCCTTTCTAAATTTTTTTTGTGCCTGGAAGAAGAATCGGAAACGGCTCTTATTTGGGATTTGGAAGAGAAGGGTCTAGGGTTTATGTACTCATGGGCCAGGCCAAAATTTGCGCGCGAGGGCTGAATGTAAGTGGACGTGCGAGCTCAATGTAAGTGGGCGTGTGAACAAGGTGGGACCCTTTTTTTAGCGACAGACGGATTGATGTTATACCTGATTTTCAGCGACAGATAGTTCGACGTTAAAGATGATTACCTATCGCGACAGACAGTTAATCTCTAAATGGAGAATTAGCGTCAGATTGTCAGTAAGTTATCTTTAGCGTCAGATCATCCATCGATAAAAAAAAGTTTTAGCGTCAGATGTCTGACGGTGATATGTTGTGGTGTAGTGACCTAGGGTTGGCTTGTCACGTCCTCTGGCCGGCAACACATCTGGATTGACCTCCCCAGGCCGTGGCCCTGCATCGATCAGCGCATCTGCATCGAGGTCCCCAGGATAAAGAAGACAGAAGATTTTTTTGTGTCGTTTTTCTAGACATTGACACATGAGCCTATCCCAAGGGTAAATCTAGCCATTTCAACAAAAATGTGCTTTGTGTGGATCTGGAGCTGGTGTGTATCCAAACGATCACTAGTAGATCTGCGGTGGATCTCAGATCCACTAATAGAGCTGCTCTATGGTGAATCTCATATCGAGATTCATTTTTGAGAGAATTTCCTCATTACCACTAAAAATTATAGCACTTCCTTTGTTGCCATCAAAATTTCCAAAATTTCCCCCTGCCATCAAGTATTTCTTTGTGTTTCCTTGGTTGCCATTTCCGTTAAGACCTATTAAGTTATAGTCGCTGACATGCAGGGCCTCACCATTTACCTCCGTTACGGTCGCGTCATCCCCGTCCCTGTCGCTGTGCGCACCCCGCTGCCGCAGCGCGACACGATGGTCGGCCCGCCGTCCCCGAGACCCCGAGGCTGCGGCAAGCTGCGAGCTGTGACGCGCGCAGGGCAGCACCGAACGCGCGGCAAAGCGAGCTACAAGCTTGCGCCCGGGGATGGCGGCCAGCGGCTCACAGGTAGCGATGACTGGCGAGCAGCGGAGCCGGCTCACAGCGAGGCCGCGGCGGCGCGGGCAAACCTCGCGCGGGGAACAGCACGAGCGGACCTCGCGTGCGGCAGCGAGCTGGGAGCTCGCGTGCGGGGCCACGACAGCGGCGCCAGTGCATGGCAAGGCCGCTTTGGTGCCAGCAGACCTCGCGCGGACAGCGACGAGCGACAGGCGGGGACCACAATGACCAGCGCGCGGCACCAGCGAGGCTGCGGCGAAGTGAGCTGTGCGCTCCTGTGCGGGCAGCGACACGCCATCGTCCTGCCTCCTCCGGTCGGTAGGGCGGCCGTGCGGGAACATCGGTACCGGGTCTATGCGTCGGGTCGCCAGGGCGATGGCACGGGGCGTCGACCGTCGAAGCGTCGAGGCGGACGTGCGGGTCACCGATCCGATTCGATCCGGTGTCGCTCCCTGCGTCGAGGCGTCGGACCTAGGTGGTGTCCGCGTCAGGGGTCGAGGGTCGGTCTTGGGCAGCTTCAGCGTCAGGGGTCGCGTCGGCCATCGAGGAGTCAAGACGAGGCATCTTCCGCGTCAGCGCGAGACGCTTTCTGCGCCGGTGCGTCGGGTCTGGGCGCCGGGCGGGGCGTTGTCCGCGACGGGTCGAGGCTTTGGGGGGCGAGCACTGGCCAGGGAGCTCATGCGTCTAGGTGGTTAATGTCGGCGTGGATACCGAAGTCGACGCCAGTGCTTGCTTTGCATCGTTTTTGTGGGATCATGTCAGAGTTCTAACGGTTTCTGGACTGATAAGTCTGGCGGATATTGGTTTGTTGTGAGAGAAAAATAATGTTGGCTGACTAATAAGCCCTGGCTGAAAAAAAAACAAAAAAAGTTTCGCGCACATATTGTCCTCTTTCAAATTCTAGGCAGCGGCGCAGTGTGCTACGTGGCCAACAGCAACAACGACCAAGCCTCGGCCACATAGCACATGCACCTCGCTATGCTGGGCGGGCAGCCGCGGACTTGCAATGAATCTGAACAAATGTGTGCTAAAGTAATCCAATCCACAACCCGTATAGAACCAGTGATGACGGTTTGGTTGACAAACCGTGAACAGGTCTAGCTGGGGAACAAGGGAACGCCGTTCCGTTTCATCAATAGCAGTGAAGGGAAGAACATATATATAGATGGCAGCCAGGAAAATAATACGTAACCATGTAACGGCAATGGCAATGAGGGGATCAAAATTTTCAGATAGATGGTAATGAGGGAAGTCTATAATTTTGGATGGCAATTGAAAGCATCTAGGCCCCTAGTTGGATTTCGGTGATTAATGTCAATACAAGATTACTATGACTAACGTGTGTTTTGCAGAGGCATATAAAGTTAGGTCATGGTAATGGAGATCGATTGGGCAATCGAGGCTGTTATGCCCCTACGATGGAAATCGTTTCGGTTTTCAAAGGATTAACGACAAGGTTAAGGATGACTAGTTCTAAGTGTCGATTGGAGTTGAAGAGATATTTAGAATAGTTTAGGACTTTGTTTTTTTCCTTTGGCCGTACTATTAAGGGGGGTATGAACGGGTAGCTTGACCTAGTTGAGTCTAGTGAGTTAGGTGTGGTGCACACTTGTTAAAACTAGCTCTAGGTAGCTCCTATGAATGCTTAAGATCCCTTGGAGCAAACTTCATTCTCATATGATTGAGAGTTGGAAGTGAATGAAGGGTCAAATACTGACCGGACGCTGGCTCCGGTGCGACCGGACGCTGGCCGCAGGGTCCGGTCAGTTCATTTGACCGAGGAGATCAAGTCTGGTGTGACCGGACGCTGGAAGGTCAATGTGACCGGACGCTGAGGGCCAGCGTCCGGTCAACTCCAGTAAGGGTCCTGACTTGAGAAAGTGTAACCGGACGCGTCCGGTCAGTGGTGACCGGACCCTGAGTATCCAGCGTCCAGTCGATTACAGTAAGCATCCAAGAGTGACCGGACGTGTCCGGTCAGTGCTGACCGGACCCTGACAGCGTCCGGTCATCACTTGGAAACTGTTGCGCGGATTGAACTGACCGGAGCGTCCGGTCAATACGATCGGAGCGTCCGGTCATCCCGCAGAAGCTCATAACGGTTCGTTTTTCATGCTGCCTTATAAATAGAAGCTCCACTCGTGTATGGAGTTACTTTTGCTCATTCCAACAGCTGAGAAACACGTTTGTGAGTGCCAAGAAGAGCAAGGTCCTCGTGAGGTGTTTGTGATTTGAGAATTCAAGAGTGAAACCTCATTAGTGAATCAAGAGTAGACAAGTGTGCATCCATCTTCTCATTAGGCTTCGCGTGGTCAAGTGAGAGTTCGTGCTTGTTACTCTTGGTGATCTCCATCACCTAGACGGCTTAGTGGTGATTGGGAGCTTGGTGATCACCCGGCGGAGCTTGTGGGTGACCCAACTCAAGTTGTGAGCGGTTTTGGGTGATTCGCCGCGACGGAGTGTTGAAGAATCAACCCGTAGAGAGCACTTGATCCTTGCGCGGATCAAGGGGGAGCTACACCCTTGCGCGGGTGCTTCAACGAGGACTAGTGGAGAGTGGCGACTCTCCGATACCTCGGCAAAACATCGTCGCGTTCCTCTCTCCATTTACTTTGAGCATTTATTTTAAGTATTTACTTTGAGCAATTCAATACTCATCTTTACATTCATAGAATTGCTATGCTAGAATAAGTTTGGAACATAGGTTGCAAGTCTTTTGTGCGTTGATTTGATAGAAACACTTTTTCTAGGAACAAGTGGTTAATTGGGCTATCCGTAGGATTTGATTATTGCAAGAAAATTTAGAATTAGCCTAATTCACCCTTCTCTTGGGCATCTTGATCCTTTCAGCAATGAAGAAATTGCTATAGATTTTAGTGGCAATAAATGAATTCTCTCTTCATTTTTTCAGTGTTGGAGCTGTCCCATATATAGACCCTTACATACGATGCTAATATTTTTCATTGGCGACTTCAACACGGTGAGTGACAATCCTTTTTTTTTTGTACGTGTCGTCGGCGTCTTCGACACGGTGGACTCGGGGACGGTGAGTGACCTGTGGGCTGTAGCATCGTAACCGAAAATTCACACACAATCCAGAACAAATAAAATTCCAGAGCTGGGTCCATCCGCGTTCACACGTTCATTGCTGTTCAGTCAATCACGGGGTTGAGGACTTGAGGGGCCTAGGTAGGAGGGCCATTGGCAATGGAGGTGCTGCTGTCTGCAGTCGCAAGCGACATCGTCGGCCGGCTGGTCTCCTTCCTCATAAGCAAGTTCCAGGAGGCTGGCTCCACCGATGACGACGTTGTCAGGCTGCAGCGTGCGCTGCTACGAGCCCGCGTCGTCGTCGAGGAGGCCAAGGCGCGGCAGGTCACCAACCGGGCGATGCTGCTGCAGCTCAACCAGCTGAGGGGAGAGATGTGCCGAGGCTCCTACGTGCTCGACGCCTTCATGAGGCGAGCCGTGGATCCCTGCAGAGGATCACATGCCATGGCGAGCCGGTCACCCGCCGGCTTGGCTGAGCGCCTGGAGAGAGTGGTCGCACTCGCACGGGCGGGCAGGTCATCTCCGCCGTGCTGAACACCATTGAAGCTGCGTTGAGCGACATGAAGGAGGAGTTCGTCGTGCTCCTCGGTGCCTGCCCCCGCCTCAACCGCCAGACGTACTGCGCCTACCTGTTCATGGAGAGGTGCATGTTTGGCCGGCAGATGGAGAAGGAGCAGATCATCGGCTTTCTGCTACAGCCTGCGCAAGATTTCGATGTCCTCCCGATCATTGGCCCTCACGAGGTTGGGAAGCGGACGCTGGTCGAGCATGCCTGTGTGGCTGTGTCGATGACAGGGTGCGAGATCACTTCGCCAAGATTCATCATCTAACAAGTGACGATCTTGATCTACAGAGCCATGACGACCATGGTCATCATCAAGGCTTGATAGACTCCGCTTCCGCTGCAATATTCGTGATTGACCTCGCCGGCGGCGATGGGGGCGAGGAGAGAAGGTTCCGCTCGTCCATGCGCCGCCGCGCGCACGGGGAGAGCAAGATCATAATCATCAGCAGGACGGAGAGGCACTCGGCGCTAGGTACAGTTCCGCCGCTCAGGTTGCGGGCGCCGTGCCGGGAGAAGCTCTGGTACCTATTCAAAGCCCTCTCGTTCGGTGGTGCGGACCCGGAGGAGCGCCCGGAGATAGGAAAAACGCGTCGTGAAGATCTACCGGTAGAAGTCAATCAACAGTGTTGAAATTTTTCACGAAAGGGATGGAAACAGAAGGAGACGGCGTGCTTCACGTTACCGTCCTTTTTTCTTATTATTATTCTCCACATCCATCTCCCTGCACTAGGAACGTACCAACGTGACCGACTAGAGTGCACTGCACTGAGGAGTGCCAACGTGGTTACGTTACCCACAGGCCACAGGCACAGGCACACAGCCGGCCTGCAACATCATGGCGAGGATTCTCCAGGTTGTGGCGCCTCTCCTCCTCCTCCTGCTCCGCACTGGCCTCCGGGAGCTCCTCTCGCCAACGACGACGATCGACCACCAGCCGTCGGAGGGTGCTGCCAACGGCGGCGGAACAACGACCGGCGGCGGCGAGGTCCTCCTCCACCCGCTGGTGCTGGTTCCCGGGCTGACCTGCAGCGAGCTGGAGACGCGGCTCACGGACGCCTACCGCCCCTCCGTTCCGCGGTGCGGCGCGATGAAGGGGAAGGGCTGGTTCGGGCTCTGGGCCAACTGCTCCGACCTGCCCGTGCACCACTACGTGCAGTGCTTCATCGAGCAGATGACCCTCGTCTACGACCCCGCCGCCAACGACTACCGGAACCTCCCCGGCGTCGAGACGCGCGTGCGCGTCTTCGGCTCCTCCCGAGGCTTCCAGAGGAACCCGGAGCACACGACCTGGTGCTTTGAGGTCCTTCGACACGAGCTCGAAAAGGCCGGGTACCGCGACGGTGACACCCTGTTCGCCGCCCAGTACGACCTCCGCTACGCCCCGCCGGTGCCCGGCCAGTCATCGGAGGTCTTCTCGCGCTACTTCCGGCGGCTGACGAGGCTCATCGAGGACGCGAGCGAGAAGAACGAGAACAAGAAGGTGATCCTCTTCGGGCACAGCTTCGGGGGGATGGTGGCGCTGGAGTTCGTGCGGAGCACGCCCATGTCGTGGCGAGACAGGTACATCAAGCACCTTATCCTCGTCGCTCCGGTGCTGGCGGAAGGGCTCGTGCAGACGCTGCAGTACTTCGTCTCCGGGTCCGACCTGATGTACATCCCCACGGTCACCCAGCTCGCGCTGACTCTGAGGCCCATGTGGAGGAGCTTCGAGTCCTCCATCGTCAGCTTCCCGTCCCCGGCGGTGTTCGGGGACAGGCCGCTCGTGGTCACCGCGCGGAGGAACTACTCCGCCTACGACGTGGAGGACCTCCTGGCCGACATCGGCTTCGGCGCCGGCGTGGAGCCTTTCACGAGACGAGCGGTCCCGAAGATGAGCTCCTTCCAGGCCCCCATGGTGCCGACGACGTGCATCAACGGAGTAGGCAATAACGACACGCCGGAGCAGCTGGTTTACTGGGACGGCGACTTCGACGCGGAACCCGAAATAGCGTATGGCGACGGAGACAATACCATCAATTTGATCAGCATGTTGGCGTTCGACGAGAAGATGCGTCGGCAGCCGGAGCAGAACAAGCTGTACAAGTCCATCAAACTTCATGGGGCTGAGCACGGTACTATTGTGACAGAGGACTGGGCGCTCAAGCGGGTCATGCAAGAAATCCTCGAAGCCAATCGTATTTGATTAATTTACTTATTTATTATAGTATAAGACTAAAGCGATTTTTTAAATGCATTTGTTCCTAAATAATGTCGACTTATATGAACATTTAAGTATATCAGATGATACTGTGTGCATTGCTGCGGTAATTTTATAACGCTATTAAGAAGCATGGTTCATGGATTGAGAAATAACAAAAGCACAATCCACACACATGCATGTTTATTTGAATCTTCGTGGGAACAAACTGAATTTATGATACAAAAAGTAAGGAAAACTAGTCTTTCATATACATATCTGACATGAGCCGGTCTTTCTATAATTGCATTGGTATAAAAAATAGTCTTTGTGTCCTCATCGTTTTTTTTTTTAGAACACGTCGGTTTACGCGTTTTTCATTAAGAGGAGTGTAAAACGTTACAATATGCACCAAGCCGCTACGCGAGCAGCATAGCAGCTGTGGTGTCCGCAACACGACGCTTAGACAAGCCTAGAGAGGGCACCCATCCAAACTTTCAACTACATGGTGACTAATTTTGCGACTCAGATCAGCACCTAGACTTAGAGTAGGCTATAAGTAGCGATGCGACATCACCGTTGCCTTCTGCAATGATCGTCTGGCAAGTTTGTGTCCTCATCAATCAGTGCTCCTACAAGTCTTGATTATGTGAAGGAGACAACTCGTCAATTGTTTACTGTTCAACACTGATAGTGAGCGAAAACAAAAAAGTAATACCAAGATGCACAATAGTTTAATCACTTGCTATATGGTAAACTGAACTGAAAAGGGAAATTTGAATAATTCAAGAAAGATGTTAGAACTATTGGAATCTCAGCTCACTATCAGATGGAGGTTGTTTATTTTTTTACGAAACTGAATAATGATTCCATGAGTGAATAATTGAAGAAACAGGTAAAAGCTATTGGAAACTCACCTAGCCGGCCAGAAGTTGATCACTGCCAGTTGGAGGTTGTTAAATAAATTTGCACAAAGCTGAATAATGATTCCATGAGAACCTTTGGATTCCATTGGTAAGGATGTGACCATATGAATTTTGCTTAGCTATGCTGATGTTCAGAGATAAAATTCTTGTGAATATCTCCTAGAAATCCTAAGAATCATTGCGATCCCGTATTACCCAGACAAAAAATCTGAAATCAGTCATGTACACATCTGACAAAGAACTCCAATTCTCCAACGGTGATCTCAACCAAGATTTTACACATGCCATGATCCGATGCACGTTTGATGAATGACAGAAATTCACAGGGCAGGAAATAGTAAGCTGGTAGGATTAATGTGATAAATAATTGCATATATGGGCACATAATTATACTCCTCCCTCAAAGATTTCCACGGATTTTAAAGCAGTCAATTAAGGTAAGTAATTTTTTGCTAATTATTTTATATCTGGGCCACGCTTGGACCCAGACTGTCCGTCTAGCCCTGAGTCCAGCCTGTCCCCAAGGTAAAGTCATCGTCACAGAAGGAGACGGAGTCATCCATTCATTTCTGCCATTCTCCACGGTATGCATGTTTAGAACACATAAATTTTATAAGAATCATTTAAAAAATTCACGAAAATCAGTCATTTTTATAGGAAAAGGTACGAGACAGGAAAAAATATCCATTCCAAGGGAGCATGTATGTTTTTCCCCTAAGATGAACTAGGTGAACTTTGTCCAAAGGTATCTTCGTTTAACTTTGGTTTGGTCAAAATTGATTTTTGGATTTGTTTGGATTCAAACTAAAGTGAGGGGATTTTTTTGCTAATTATTTTGATCTTGCTTTTCTCCACGGTATGCTCCTGGCGCCGCGTGCTGAAGGTGTCCGCTGGAGTGAGAGTGACGGAGCTGCAGCTCGGTGCCGCCGCTGGGGGACCTCGTCGTCCGGAGGAGAAGACCGGGTATTACTACCCCAGCGTGCCGGTGAAGGACGCGCCTAACGCTCCGTGTGTGTTCTACGGCAGGCGTAAGTCGACGGGCATGGCACAGAGCGAGCTCCCGAAGGTGACGATGATCCGCGGCGAGAAGCGGTTTGACGTGCTGGTGTGGCAGTCCCGCATTATTCCGTATGCAAGCTACATCGCAACGTGCGACATGGAGGGAGGTGCCGACGTGGCGGTGGTCGGCATGAAACAACGTCTGAATAAGAGGAGGAGAGGTCAACTGGTTTATGGCTTCGGCAGAAACGTAGGGAGCTAGGGGACGCCGGGACGGAGACGACGATGGACATGGAATGGAACGTATGGTTGGTTGCAGGGAACGGAGGAAGCCAGAAGGGCCATGTGCGAAATGGACGGTCTCGCTCTCGGACTCCCGCATTCCTTCGTATAAGAGCGACATGGACGGAGTCGTGGAGCTCAACTGCGCTGGTTGTATACTTGTACCCGCCAAGAAAATTCCTTGTGTTGGTAATAAGAAGAAGAAAAGTCAACAAGAAGGCGACCGGACAGAGCTAATTGTTTGTTGCAAGCACTCGAACCCTCTACTTGTGAATGCTCGTGACTTGCGACATGTGAGTGAGCGCATGTTCTCTATGCCCTGTGCTGCTGTGCATCATCTCTCGCAGTCAATATTCTTCATTTACTATTTTATGGAGTGGATAAAATCAGAAACTGCATGGTCTACTGTGCTATGTAGTATTACTGTTGTTTTAGTTTTGTTATAAATCCAATTTCTCTAATTTTGATTTTATAGAAAAATATACAACATCCAGCCATGAAATATATTTTGATAGTGCATTTATTTGATATTCTAGATATTAGTATGGTTTTCTATAAATCTAATCATAGCTAAAAAATCATTTAGAATAAAGCTAAAATGATTTATATTTTTGGATACTATAGGCTAACAATTAGCACTGAGCTTTGGACGTCAAATAGGCTAACAATTAGCCCATATAGCTCATTTTAATCCATTATCTTAAGATGGGCTAATGTTTAGCCATGGGATCCAAAATTCCAAACAGCCTTTTAGAATGGAGGGGGCCTTCTTGAAAAAAAAAATCATTTGTTCTCCCCCAACTATTGGGCAAGTTTGATTTTTTTCTCCATCAATCAGAAAACTAGATTTTTAGACTCCACCAAACCATCCAATTTATCTATCTGCGCAGTTTTGGCTGATGTGGCGCCACGCCAGTCACGAATGCGGTAAATCGGTCTTTGCGATAGTTCATGGTGTTAATGAGACTTTATCCAAAAAGTATAGAAATAATTCTTCAAAAAATTATCCAAATATTATCCTAGAATAAATATGCATTTTAAATACTAAAACCGACTTAATAGAAATTTGTTTTAACTTAGAAAACATCAAACCAGTTTCATGTTTTTTTTTTCTAAAGCCATGCTCTGTGTTTTTGTTCCTTGCAATTATTTGAACCTTATATGGTCTCCCAAAAATCTGAAACCAAGTCAAATATGAAATTGAGGATGCAGGCTAAGACAAATCCTTGTAGATTGTAAAACTGTTTTCCCTTAGCTTAACAACATGCATTGCTTATATATCGAGACATGCACGGGAAGTTTAAAATAAAATATTTATTCAAGTTCTGATTTCATTTTAAGAACATGCATGATGTGCTTTAACTTTGTAGCATCACTATCTTCTCCAGGAGACATCATAACAATGACTTGTGCAGACTCATTGGACCATCAGTGGTAGCCGACATGCGACTTCTTAGACTCTCAATCCAACATCTGCGACTTGGCAAGCAACATCTAGATGGACACAATGTCATCGTCGTAGGTTTGTGTACTTACCAAGAGCACATGATCAAGCAGAAAGACAGTTTAGACATGCTCAGGAAGCCAAACTTCACACGTTTTCTAAAATCATGCTCTATATTAAGGTGCCTAGCTCATAGAAAATAGAGCATGATTTTGTAAAAATGTGAAACTAGTTTCATATTTTTCTGAGTTAAAACAAATTTTCTATAGATTTTTTAATAATAAATCAAATTTTAGTATTTTTAAATGTATATTTACTAAAAACTTGGATATTTTTTGAAAAGTTATTTCTAGAACTTCATATGATGAATTATAGATTCCCTAACTATTGTGAAAGTCCGATTTATCTTTCTTGTGGCTAACATGGCGCAAAGTAGGACGACTAACGTGGCATCATATCAGCCAAAACCGCTTCAAAACTGTTCAAGGAGATAAATTGGATGGTTTCAAAAGTTAGATGTGTCTAAAAATCTAGTTTCCTGATTAAGGGAGGCAAATTGGACTTGTAAATAATTGAGGGAGATGAGATTACCTTTTTTTCATGAGCCTAGCTAGTCGCCTGAACACATAGCAGCTACGTGCCTTGGACAATGCTTGCATAGTTGCATGTATTGGAATTTTGAGCATTTGAATAGCGATCCATTGAGTAACACGAAGAACGGAGCAGATCTCATCTATATGATTTTCTTTTCTTTTTGAACCTCTTGGTATCTTGAAGGAATGATAAAAATCTCTTGGTCAGTTGTATCCAAGAAGGAGCTTAGACTCAAATGTAGGGTATTTTCCATTAGTATAGAGACTTTTGTACAAGAAGCAATAGTATCTCTAATTATAGTAACTCTAGTATGTAATCATGTAAAATATCTCTTCTCACCATCCCCATAGCATGTGGGACAAATGCGTGCATTTTGATTAGGGTCGTATTCTATTGTTACAATTTTACCGGATATACTTTTTTACACTTTTGAAAATCAATTTTAGGTGTAGCCTCGCCCTATGATTTGGGGACAATGATTTCTTTGGCATTACGATCTTTACCACAATGGTGTCGTCCGTGGATCAATTTGTTTGTGGATTAGATTTTGATTATTTTGACAAAAGCAAGAAAATGTGGTTAAACCCGTCCAAGTTAGAACACTTGGTGACAACATTGTGATTTTTTTGTATATTTGTTTAACAAGAAAATTTGATTGTTGGTTTGAATTATAAAAAAAATGAGTACTCGTGAGCTCGGACATTAGATTGTGATATATTGATATTGAAGGATACTTTTGGAGAAAAAAAGAAGGAATATATGAACGCCATTGCTTCCACAAAAAGATATTGAACACAAGCTTCAAGTTTGCCATATTTTATTTATTGAACAATTTGAGTGCTTATTCACTTTACGAATTGTCTTTTCTTGTTCATACATGTAGCACCCGTTTTTAAGATCAAAACCAGATACACACTATATGTTAGCCTAAGAAGTCAAATATCATATATAGCTATAAATAAGGGTAATATCGAAAGACAATGATCAATATATAACATACTTAGTATAAAAGATGTAACCTTAGATACCAAACAGCGGAAAGACAACTCCGATCTTCAGGGAGAAGACTAATTACATAGAGACAACTGGCTGGTTGATCACAAGTCTAATTCCTCCAAATTCTAGCAATCTGGTACCCATCCAGGATTTTCTCAAAGATTTAAAAAGTAAAGCAAGCATAAGTACATGTCGTACTCAACAAATATAACATGGAGTTCATGAGGCTCAAAAGGCTGACACCGGTTTAACTGCGATTAGCTTTTAATGAATCATCTTTTAGCAATTGGGTGGCAACAAGTTTATTCATAAGCCCATATAAACACATGATCAGGTAAACATGAATTATGAATAGTGTCGGTGTTTTGAGTAAACACCAACGAGTAAATTTCTAATATTGCGTGTCTAGCTCGGATGGTGTGCTAAGAGGACACAAGGTTTATACTGGTTTGGGCGGAATGTCCCTACGTCCAGTTCAGTTGCTGCTGCTCGTGTTACTAGCACTAAAAAGTTCATATTAGGGGTTACAAACGAGCAAGAGAGGGATCGGTCTCAAGTCTCTAGTGGAAAGAATGAATGGGTACCGAGAGCTTAGTCGCTGCTCGGCTATGTGTTCAAGGTTCGATGCTAGTGGTTTTGATATGATGCCCCTTAGTGGGGTACCCTATTTTTCCTTTTATAGGCCAAGGGAAAGCACGGGTTACAACGCGGGAGAAAAAAGGAGAACGAGAGAGAGAGGAAGTCCTTCAGGGTCGCCGGGCCTTTCTTTTCCTTTGTGCGGGTCCCACTAACACGGCAGGGGGTGATAGGGACAGCTCCACACCGGGCGCCTGTCCACCGATGATGCCATGCCCTGCCATTGTCAGTGGGTCATGATGTCCCACTCCGCCCCAGCGGACGGCGCGGCAAACCAGCGTGCTAATCAGCGGCCGTACAGGGATTAGGCAGCATAGTGACCACGCGTCCATCCCTGTGGGTGATGTGAGTTCCCTGGAATGACATGTTGCGGGGATGGGTCGTGTTGAGACGTGACCTCTCCCCGCACGATGCCAGAAGTTTGACCTTGGGTTGTACTTTCTGGCCCGTAGTGGTTGGCGACGGCGTGAGCTTCTGTTAGGAGCCAAGCCTACCCGAGGGATCGGGCGAGGCGAAGCACGCCCTCAAACGTTGGGCGAGGTGGAGCCCACCCTCTGACATCGAGTGAGGAGGAGCCAGCCCTCAGACGTCGGGCGAGGCGGAGCCCGCCCTCGGTGGTCGGGCGAGGCGGAGCTCGCCCTTAGAGGTCGGGTGAGACAGAGCCCGCGACCTCGGTGTCGGGCGAGGCGGAGCCCATGGCCTCGGTGTCGGGCGAGGCAGAGCCTATCCACAGATGTTGGGTGACGCAGAGCCCTCGGCCTCGGTGTCAATCGAGGTGGAGCCTGCCTCCAGAGGTCAGGCGAGGCGGATCGCACGACCTTGGGGTCGGGCAAGGCGGAGCCCGCGGCTAGAGGTCGGGCGAGGCAGAGTCCATCCCCAGAGGTCAGGCAAGGCAGATCGCACGACCTTGGGGTCAGGTTTAGCGGAGCCCATGGCCTCGGTGTCGGGCGAGGCAAAGCTCGCCCCCAGAGGTCGGGCGAGGCGGATCGCACGACCTTGGGGTCAGCGAAGGCAGAGCCCGCGACCTCGTTGTCGGTTGGAGCTGTTGTCGCACCCTTGACTACCAAGATGGATTAACGTATAATGATCATTATCCCCTCCTCTTCGAGTACCCTAGTACTGGTCCCCGACAGTAGCCCCCAAGCCTTTGGAGAAGTATAATACTTCTTTGGAGGCTTTTCTGAACGGGAGGACTCTGAGAGCTTTGGTCTTCTTTTATAGCCCATGGCGTAACCTGGGAACGGTGGTTCCCTTTTGTCGAGACTGGACCCTTCGTGGGTATGGCCATGAGATTTGGTGGGTTGGAAAAG